AGCACCACACAGATCACTGCAATATTACAAACTGAATATGCTGTCCGAGGATGGCAAATGCAAAGCGTTCGATGCTTCGGCTGATGGTTTGGTGAGGGCCGAGGCGGTAGTGGCGATATATTTGCAGAAGGCGAAGGATGCGCGCAGAGTGTACGCCACGGTGGTTAACACGAAAACAAACATCGACGGCTACAAACCCGAGGGAATCGGGTATCCCAGCAGTGAAATGCAAAAGCAATTGATACGTGACATCTACAATGAGGCGGGAATTAATCCTCTAGACATTAGTTACGTAGAGACTCATGGTACCGGTACCAAAGTAGGCGATCCAGAGGAAGTCAATGCCATCGATAAATTGTTCTGTAAAGGTAGGAAGAGTCCTTTGCTGATAGGCTCGGTGAAATCCAATATGGGTCATTCGGAACCGGCAAGTGGACTATGCTCCATCGCCAAAGTGCTGATCGCGATGGAAGCGGGCGTGATACCCGCGAATTTGCACTTTAAAACTCCGAATCCGAATATTCCTGGCTTAAACGAGGGACGGATTCGAGTTATCGACAAGGCTACACCGTGGAACGGTGGTCTCGTGGGTATTAACTCATTTGGTCTCGGCGGCACCAATGCACACGTTATTCTACGCAGCAATCCAAAACCAAAACTGTCATCAATGAACGCCGAAATATTGCCCAAATTAGTCGCTGTATCAGGTCGAACGGAAGAAGCTGTGCACACGTTATTGAATAAAGCGAAAGAGCACTGTAAAGATAACGAGTTTCTATCGTTATTACACATAATGCACAATAACGACATCCCTGGTCACAAGATTCGCGGGTACGAGATACTCAGCGTCGATGGTACACATGAAATGACCGAAGTAGCGGGCTGTGACAAAGGGCGTCCAATTTGGTTCATATTTTCCGGTATGGGTTCGCAATGGCCAGGCATGGCTCGTCAATTGTTCAGCATTGAAACTTTCCAACGTAGTTTGCGGCGATGCGCGGATGCTTTGGCACTCTACGACGTCGACCTCATGAATATCATCATGAACGCCACAGACGAAACATTTGAGAATGTGATGAATTCCTTCATGTCTATCGCGGCTATACAGGTCGCTCTCATGGATGTTTTAACGTTGATAGGCATACATCCGGACGGCGTAGTCGGACACTCCATTGGAGAATTGGGTTGTGCTTATGCCGACGGGGCATTTACACTGGAACAAACTGTCTTAACCGCTTACTGCAGAGGCAAGGCGTTATTAGAATCCAAGCTGAAACCAGGTGCCATGGCGGCAGTTGGTTTGAGCTGGGAGGAGGCCGAAAAGATTTGCCCGCCCGATATCACACGAGCTTGTAACAACTCCGCCAACTTGATTACTATTTCCGGTCCGACTGATTCTATGCACAAGTTCGTACAAATGCTGGAGAGTAAAGATATCTTCGTTAAAATGGTAAACAGTTCCGGCTACGCTCTCCACAGCAAATACATCGCTCCAGCAATGCCTAAGCTACACGCATTACTCGAGAAACTCATACCGAGTCCCAAGCAGAGGTCGGCTAGATGGATCTCTACCTCCGTACCAGAATCCGCATGGGATAGTCCGCTAGCGCAGCTCAACTCCGCCGAGTATTGTGTAAACAATATGATGTCACCTGTGCTCTTCAAAGAGGCGATCGCTCATATCCCAGAAAACGCGATAACGATCGAGATCGCACCGCACGGTTTGCTACAGACTATCTTACGCAGATCATTACCACCAACGGTGACCAATATTAGCCTTCACAAGCGGGATCATTTGGACAATCTTACCTTCCTGCTGTCTAACGTGGGAAAGTTATACATGGCCGGTGCGCAACCTAACATTGCCAAATTGTATCCGCCGATTAGTTTCCCCGTCGGTCGTGGAACACCAATGATCGGGTCCTTGGTCAGGTGGGATCACTCCGTCCCATGGGATGTGCCTGATTTCAAACAGATATCAGACCATTCGGGAGGATGTATTGTCCAAATAGACTTGTCAAATGAAATGGATACGTATCTAGCAGGACACCAGATAGACGGACGAGTGATTTTTCCAGTTGCTGGTTATATTTTAATGGTGTGGAAAACTTTGGCAAAACAGCGCGGCTGCAATTTTGAACTGTTGCCAGTAGTATTTGAGAAAATGCAGTTTCATCGGGCCACCATTATCCCCAAGGAAGGACAGGTGAGATTCTCGATAACCCTTTTCAAAGGATCGGGCGATTTCGAGATCTGTGAGAACGATACGATCGTCGCCAGCGGAAACGTTCGCGTGTCCGAAGGTATCGACAAAGATCACCTGAACTTACCACCTCCAGTTTTGCCTCAAAATCAAGAGACTTTGCAATTGAATACCGAGGATGTTTACAAGCTACTGAGATTGAACGGATACGATTATTGCGATATCTTCAAAGGAGTCAAATCTTGCGATAAAGATGCCACTGCCGGTGAACTATACTGGTTCAATCAATGGGTGTCGTACTTAGACAGTATGGTTCATATATCTTTGGTGACTAACAATTCATTATATTTAGCGTCGCATATTCAGTATGTAGCTATCAATCCTGTTCTTCATAAACAACTGGTTGAAAACTTACCAGAGAACGATGGATTGCCAGTGTATTGCTACAAAGACGCCAACATTGTTAAATCGGGTGGTATTGAGCTCAGAAAAATTAACTTTTCGTTGGCGCCCCGGCGACAGAATCATGCTGATCTTAAATACGGGCGGTACACTTTCATACCATACGAAAGTTCGTACAGTCCAGGAGGGGATGCAATGAGAGGAAGGGTTCATGCGCTTACTGTACTCTTGCAGATTGTGTATGAAAACATAACGACGTTGAGACTGAAGACCGTAGAAGTTGCAAGTGAACGAGCTGCGGAAGATCTCTTGGCACCGCTTATTTGCAAAATTTCCGATAACCAATTGGGCTCGCCTATCGTAAGAATACCAAATTATTTTAATAATTTGTTTGTTCGTTTGTTTTGTCCTCTATCCAGTTGGAATATTTTGTTATTCGATATTCTTAGAATTGTGTACCTACCTGCTACCATATCAAAGTAAAACATCACATTCTGACAGACGACTTTAGAATTTAACATTCTTTCCGTCAAGTATTTTTATTTAAATAAACTGCATTGCGACAGTTCTAAGGATTGGATAAAAGATTTAGAGATAAATGATAAAAAAGGAGGATTCCATTGTTACGTCAATACTATTTGAAACAAAATATTATGTTTTATTTACACTCACACAAGAATGAAATTGCTGTTTCCTTGTTTCTGGTACAGTAGTAAAATGCATGTAAATTTAAAAGTAAAACGCTTTACGATCATAATCGCGTCATAATTTATTCTTATTTGTGATTATTTTTTTCAAGATTCTTCTTCAATGTTTAATTACAAAATCGCTGTGTTTCTTTCAGATTGATTTACAAATCGTCACAGTTTCTGCAGATAACTATACGGAGAGTTTGAAGCAGATGAACGTGAACGCTGACATCGTAACGCAAGATGTGAATAAGGCACTTCCCGTTCAAGACGTGCACCTTGTCATTGCGGCGGACGTTCTATCTAATAAGTCTTATACCGTTCTCAAAAACTTGGTCGCTAACTTAAAACCTGGTTGTTTTATTCTTCTGGAGGAGACCGCTGCACAACTAGATTTGGAGACCGCGTTGAAAGACACTGATCTCATCTTGGCTGGAAAACAAACAGTTTCCGTAGAAAAGACTTATTTGTTGCTGAAGAAACGACAGAAACTAAGAGAACCAATGGTAATTCAAATTACAGAAAAACATCTGTCGTGGCTGAAAGATATAAAAGCAGTACTGAAAAAATGCGACAGTATAGATCAAGAAATACTCCTTGTATCCCAGGGTGAAGAAACACTTGGTAAGATTACGGAAGAAAATTCTTAAACTTTCAACGTGTCTCTTTAATTATATGATGGACAGAAAAGAATGTCTTGTCATTTTTAATTCGTAGGCTTGGTCGGACTCATGACTTGTATGCGACGCGAGTTAGGCAATGCAAATTTGCGTTATGTCTTTATCCAGGACCAGAATGCCCCCACATTTAGCATATTCGTACAGTTTTATGTGGAGCAATTGGACAAAGGATTGATGGCAAACGTTTTGAAAGGAGGACAATGGGGCAGTTATCGACACTTGCCATTGGATCAACAGAGCAACATGTCTTCGGTGCAGGTGAAACACGCCTATGTAAACACATTGACAAGAGGAGACCTCAGCAGCTTGAAATGGATCGAAAGACCCTTAAAATACTATCGTCCCGACAAGTTTCCTAATATGAAACTTTGTTACGTTTACTATGCTCCACTGAGCTCCAGGTAAGTGCCAAAATATTACTTACTGATATTGAGATAATGAAGGCGTGACACGTGAATAAATTATATGCACGACAGGGATATCATATTGGCGAGTGGAAAGTTGTCCCTGGATATTTTGCCGAGGAATATAGCTACGGAAGAATGTATATTGGGACGTGGATTTTCGGGGAGAGACGCTGACGGTCGTCGCGTGATGGGTATAGTCGAAGTTGGAGGACTGGCGACTACAGTGGTTGCAGATCTCGATTTCCTTTGGGAAGTACCCGACAAGTGGACGTTGGAACAGGCAGCAACGATACCTATCGCTTACGTGACTAGTTACTATGCTTTGTTTGTACGAGGTCAATTGACAGCGGGCGAAAGCATATTAGTTCACGCTGGTACAAGCGGCGTCGGTCAAGCAGCGATTGCCATTGCTCTGCACGCTGGTTGTACCGTCTTCACTACCGTTGACACGTTGGATAAAAGAACATATCTCAAAAAAATCTTTCCGCAGTTGAACGACAAGCACATTGGCACTTCCCAAGATACCAGTTTCGAACAGCTCATAGATTTTGAGACTCAAGGACGTGGAGTGGATGTCGTATTGAATTCACTGACAGATGCGAAATTACAAGCTGGCATCCGGTGTCTGGCGTACGGTGGCCGTTTCCTTGACATCAGCATTCATGATATATCGAAAGACAACCGCGTGAGCATATCAACGTTAATAAAATATACTTACCATAGTATATTGTTGGATATGGTATTTCAAGAAAATAAAGCGCAAAAGAATAAACTGATCAAATTCTTTTCGGAGGGGATAAAAAATGGCGCGATACGTCCGCTCCAATGGACTGTGTTTTCGGAACAACAGCTCGAGCAAGCATTCAGATATATGGCGGCACGCAAGCATATTGACAAAGTGCTGTTGAACCTTCGTTCT